AACACACACACACACACACACACACACACACACAGTGTAGCCTCCCTAGCTACAATATGCCATTTCAAGTATAGTGAAAGTGCTCGTGTGTATTACTACAAAAATCCTTTATTGAACATTTTAGAGAGGTTGGCCTGTTCCGATGTGTACAACACTTTAAAAAAAAACCAGTGTAATACAATACATTAAATCTGTCAAGCTTTTGTCTCAGGTCAATTGCATGTTAGATGAAAGAAAGGTGACAGTCTCCTACAAGTGACCAATTTATACTGTTGAATAATCTGGACAGTTGTAAGGTAGTGATCTACTTAAGGAGTTTTAATCAATAAATTTCCAGTGGTTTTAAAGTCTAGGGTGCATGCTTCTTTTCTGTATATTCATTCCAGTTAGAGGTTTGCTTCAAGTAAAAAACAAGTGAAGCCCAAAACTTATTCTTATCTTAAAATTTTCTGTTTCTTTCGGTGGCAAATTTCCCATTCAAGCCAGCTTAATACAGAAAATTGAAAGTAATAAACTAATCATGCATTTTAACAGCAATTTAGTACCTTAAAATAATCTATGGAGGGGATTAAAATGATTTTTATTTAAGTATATATAAAAAGGTGTTTTTTCTCCCATATTGTGTGTTTTCTGCATGCATACTGTGAAGGAGACAGAAACAACTGTTAATAGGAAAAAAGTTAGCTTCACATGCAAACAGTAGTAGATGAAAATACTGTTAGACACGAGGGAAAATTCTATACTGTGACATTCCAATATTGAAAATATTCACTTACACCAATGTAAGTGAAGTCTCTAAAAAAAACATCTGATACCTTTTCTGACTAAAGGAAATAGTTCATAAGTGATTAGTGTGGGATTCAACATTGCTGAAATCCTACACAAGAAGTGGGTATAGTATACTCTCTCAACTGAGCTGAAGTCAGTGTAAAGTTAACTGTAACTCAGTTTGGAGTAATATTAAAGGCATGGCTTCACTCTCTCTTTTGCCTGGAATTCAGATGCATACATAATGGTTTAATGTTTTAGGTATAGAGCAAGCACTTGCAAGGATATGCATGATTTAAAAAATAGCCAAGACCAATAGTAGAAAATGCATTTTATTTATATGGAAAAGCTACAGTATGATTTGTAAATGAACTGCGAGAATGTTATTTGACTATGCGGGGAGAAAGGAAGGGAGCAGAGAGGGAAGAATCAGTTGTGAATAGCAACAAACAAGACAGTTACATATCTTTCTACATAGCAGTGCAATTAGTTCACATTGCAATAAAATTAAACTCAAGTATGCAACAGAATTAAAAAAATCCAAGTGTTTCTCCATAATCAGCATACTGAATTACAGTGCAAAGATCATTTAGGTTTTAAGAATTTGCAATCAGTCTGTAAAATATCATATGGGAAGAGACACCCCATTCATTCATTACTAGCAGTTGTATTTTGTCAATACTGTGCACAAGAAAAAGTCTAAAATGAACTGACTTACATGGTAAATAAAATATATTTAGTCTATACAGTAAAAAAATACAAATTACATAAATGAACTAACCATGACATTTGAACATACTTATGAAACTGACAACATATCTTAAAAGACACATGCAGTATCATGTAAAAACATTTTTTCCAGCAAAAATAATTTGGTTGCTTTACAACTGCATTATGGATCTTGTAGGCTGAAGATACAGATGTCCAAGTTTCTTAAAAACCATAATAAATGTCTTTTGCAAAGCATACAAAAAGGATAAATACTCTCATCACAGTCTTAAGTTTATTTTTGGAAGCTTGTTTTTTTCTTGTTCCAGAAACACACTCGCATGGGTAAAAAATCAAAAGGGCCCTCATGGTACACTGAAACAGCAAACTGTGCTCCATTTACTTCTAATTTTGAAAAAACCTAGAATTTACAGTACTCTGTGGTGTATGAAAAAGTGTTCACAAGTTTACATTGCATATTTCTGAGTCCATTCTCTTGCATGTCTGTTGTATCTGTACATGTAGAAAGAAGGCATTACAATTAGAAACAGGTTAATGATAGACAACCATATCTACAACTGTTTGATAAAAATGAGCTATCACTAAGCTCACCAACTTTTATGACACACTAGGTGCAATCTTGCCCGCTCAAGAAAGTTATAACAATTCTGTTTAAGAACAACTAAACAGAATAACATATCTATAGCATGTAGCTGCCTATGTTCAGTTTCTGAAAATTGACTTAAGCAGCAGATGAAAATACTAAAGAAACTAGTTAGGATTTAGGATGAGACAACAGCACATTGTGTTGCCATTGGATTTATGACTCAGATACTTTGGTTTTGGGCGGACCCAACATCCTCAGACTGGCCACAACCTTTTTACTCAATAATAGGCGAATGTTATTGATACACAGTGATAGCAGATAAGAATAATGCAAACACTTTTATATTTACCAGCTCTACAGGCATGTACAGAAAAAGATGTAGCAGGCCAAATTGACTAAACTTCCCAAATAAGGAGAGCCAGCCATAGGACACCTTAAAAAAGGAAAAAAAAGAAAAGGACATCCAGGCAAATAATTTCCTTTTCTCCCATGACTGAATTCCTAGCTTTGGAGATTAAAGAGTTGGCTGGAGGGTCGCACCCAGAGACTGGTGGTGGATGGGTCCTATTCGACCTGTAGGGATTGTGGGAAGTGAGGTCCCCCAGGGCTTGGTCCTTGGGCCCACACTGTTCAACATCTTCATCAGCAACTTGGACAAGGGGGTAAAAAGCACCCTGTTCAAATTCGCAGATGACACTAAGATGTGGGGGGAAGTGGGCACGCTAGACAGGAGGAATAGGCTGCAATCAGACCTAGACAGGTTATAGGGGTGGGCGGATGAGAACAGGATGGGATTCAACAATGACAAGTGCAAGGTACTGCACCTGGGGAGGAAGAACCAGCAGCATACCTACAGGCTGGGGAACTCCTTTCTCATCAGTGCAGAAGCAAAAAAGGATCTTGGAGTCATCATTGATGCCAAAATGAACATGGGCTGACAGTGTGGGGAAGGAAGGCCAACTGTACCTTGTCATGCATCCACAGATGCATCTCAAGCAGGTCCAAGGAGGTGATCCTCCCCCTCTGTGCGACACTGGTCAGGCCGCAGTTGGAGTATTGTGTCCAGTTCTGGTTGCCGCACTTCAGGAGGGATGTGGACAACATGGAGAGGGTCCAGAGAAGGGCCACTTGCATGATCAGGGGGCAGCAGGGCAGGCCCTACGAGGAGAGGCTGCGGGACCTGAACCTGTTCAGCCTCCACAAGAGAAGGCTGAGGGGGATCTAATGGCCGTTTACAAACTACTCAGAGGGAACCAGAAGGCATTGGGGGAATCCCTGTTCCCCCGTGCACTGCCAGGAGTGACTAGAAATAACGGTCACAAGCTGGCAGAGGGTAGATTCAGACTAGACATCAGGAGGCACTACTTCACTGTCAGGGCGGCTAGGATCTGGAACCAACTTCCAAGAGAAGTGGTGCTGGCTCCTACCCTGGGGTCTTTAAGAGGAGGCTAGATGAACACCTTGCCGGGGTCATTTGACCCCAGTACTCTTTCCTGCCATGGCAGGGGGTCGGACTTGATGATCTGCTCAGGTGCCTTCTGACCCTACCAACTATGAAACTATAAGTTCAGAAGTTTTTCAGTAAACCAATAGTTTCCAAAGTGGAGGTAACAAACTGTAAACTGCCACAAAAACCAAAGATGCATCAAATCCCTAGCAAGAAAAGGTAAACAGAAGAAATACTGTATTTTTTCATATACAGTATGCACCTTTCCTCCCAAAAAACAGCTGCTGGAAATTGGAGTGCATATTACAAGCCGGAAATATAGTAAGAGCAGCTTCTGCCTTTGCAGGGCAAAAGCAAAGTAAAATCTGCAAGCAATCTGCAGGCAGTAGAACTACGAACAGTTCTACTCTCTAGCAGCTATTACTCAGTTACTCACTTACTACAAGGAAAGATTTTTTCTCCTTGGTTCTGACCTATATTCTGGGGTATGTAGTATGCAAGAAAATAGGGTATTTATTAAGGGAACAGGCAAAAGCTGAATTATGATATCTGCATCTTGATGATCATAATCTACCTTGGCTGCAAGGTAGATTTATGATCATCAAGATGAAGATAACATAATGCCTTATATCAACTTCAAGCATTGGGCCAGGTGTTTACAAAGATAGCCCAGATAATTTGATGATACCAAATGAACTGTCTAGTAATACTTTATTGATAGGAAGGATATTTTACAAGAAGCTGGTTTAGTATAGATATGTAATTTAATAAGACTATAACCTCCGTTTGACACAATAGGAAACCCACAAAACTTGACAAATACTGCCTGGTTTCAAAGTCCGTAGTTGTCTTCAATGAATTCTACCCAGTAAGACGGAACTACGTCCTATCTGCAGGCATCTCAGAAGTTCTTCAATACACGGGTACATATAGCCCATTCCCTTCTAATCTATGGATGCTCACATGTCAATATTGATCACATGCAACTAGGAAGTACCTCTCCTCTTAGTGCTGGTATTATAGGTATTCTGTTTAGTAGCTGCAGTAGGCACCAGCTTCTTGATAAGTTACAAATGGTTAAAGTTACCGTCTCCAGGTATTACACAAATATTCTAGGGGTACGGATAATGTGTTCACCAAATTAAAGTAGCAAAGAATGCATCCCATTCATACCAAAAAAAAGCCTAAGAAACAGGATGAAATATGCTGCCTCAAAAATTCACCATCAATTCAACAGGGCCTGGATTTCATGCCTGAATCTCAGATAACCAAAACACAACCCAGGTACCAACTGGATGACCCAGAGACTGTAAAACCTAAATCTGTGAATCTGGAAGTGCTCTTAGTGACAATCAATCACTGGCAGTAAGAAGTTACAAGTTTATCTTGTCACTTTATGGGGTTTCAGGTTGTGGGTCATACATGGTTTTGAAGGTCTCACAGGGACTGTAATATTGGTCTAACCTGTTTTCTGCAACATCTGTAGCACTGGAACCACAAGTGATCTTCACAATATTACTATTTATATCACAATACCACAAGGCTCTCTGTAAAAACAGACTGTGCCAGACAGAAACAGATCAGCTGTGGCAGAACATGTCCCACCACAGCTGATCTGCTTTGCTGGGTGACACACACTGCCCCTTGTCATAAATTGGGCCCCCTGCCTGATGCAGAACAAGGGGCAGTGCGTTCCCCTGCCTGGGCATCTCTTGGGTCCGTTGCTGCCCCACATCAGATCCTGTGCTGATCCATACCTCACAGAGGCACAAAAGCAGGAGAATTTCCACCGCCCCACACTTCCTTGCTAGAACCAGCATTGACCCATGCTTCACGTGGAGGCACGAGTCAACACAGGTCCCGGCATGGATGCATGAGGCACTGGGGATTCCCTGACTCTTGCACTGTCCCATGCCAGAATCTATGCCAGGGATCCATGCAGGTTACCCCCGCTTGTGGAGATGTGCCCCTGGAGATCCCAAGAGGAGTCTCTATAAATGGGGAATCCTGACTTTCTGTGCTTTAAAGGTACATACCAGGCCCCTCTATAAGCAGGGAAAGCCACACAGGTGCTCTGGGGGCTTGATGGGCCCAATTCTACCAGGCATACACATGATTAGGCTCCTCAGCATCCTTGAGTACCTACCCAGGGTGGCAGGAGAGCACAGGCAGCTCTAGGCTGCCCATGCTCTACTGCCACAGAGCAAATAGATGTCAATTGCAATACATTGGAGGTGTTCAAGATGAGGCTGGACAAGCACCTTGCTGAGCTTATCTGCACCTAATACTTTCTGTCTGTGGCAGGGGACCAGATTTATGATCGTACAGGTCCCTTCCAGTTCTGTGATTCTAAAGTGGCAGAATTTATTGTACCTTTTGTCTCGCTACTGATGTATTTTCTCAGTATCTGTATTGCCATAAAAATAGTTATTGCAGCACAAATGCAACATCAGATAACATCTGTTTCTACCCACTATGTACAAAAGGGACAGCCAGCAACCATCAAAACTCTGAGGGTCCAACAGTTTTGCACTGGAAGGACAGTACCCAGGTAGGAATTCAGTCAGTATGGTTGGGATCTTTAGATATTAAACCCTTTAAACTCTCCACTGTGAAAGCATGTAGCGCTTCAGCTAATTGTTAATTATGTTTCCTTCCCCAATGCAATAAATCCCCCAGTCTACATTAGTGTTTCATAATGAAAAAGGCAAATATTGCTTCTTGTTAGATGAATAACTCTACTGCATGAGCAAAGACCCTCAGCATTTTAGGAAATATTTCCTAATATTCTTTATATTTTAGTTATGTTGGAGTTGAGAAATTAAGTGTCAAAGTTGACAACCCATACTCAGTATTTTCTAACCTTTTTAGCAGAGCACAACTCTAGTGAATCATTAATTACAGGATCCTGTTCTGGGACTATATCAATATATTCTACTTGGGACATTTTCACACAATAAAATCTTAACTGTTCCATCGTGTATATTTAATGGGAAGCTTTAGGAACATATCAGATTAATTATGTTAACCTATATTTCTCTAATGTAGTCTAATTGAGTATATATTACTGTAGCAGGCACTGGTACCAGGGGTGGCCATGACACCCCCTAATAGGTACTCAGTCCCTGATCTGACCTGGCTTCTCCAGCTTGCTCCCCTTCACCTCACCTGCCAAACTATGTTGTTATTAGATCTTTGGAGGATCCCTGATCCCACGCTGCTGTTCAGGTGTCACTATTCAGCACCTTAAGGTCTTATTACATGGCTCCAACCATCCCACACACCACACCTATGCCTCGTAGATGTTATCAAGTAGCACCACCTCCTAGCCCTTTACTGGGACCCAGTCTCTGCCACAGTTGGGACTTGCAGTAGGGCTGTGTGAAATGGCACCATTCCATTTTGCCTTGAGTTTTGAGGTTTCAACAGAACAGCGTTTCGTATAGAATTTAATTTTGATTCCTAAAATCAAAATTAGCTGGGTTGATTTCTTTTCCCCAGCCCGATCTAGCTGGGGAAGGGAACTCAGCCCAGCTAGACTGACTTCCCATCCCCAGCGCTATGGTCAAAATGTTTCAAAAGCCTTTGTTTTGTTTCGATTTTGCTGTTTCAAAAGCCTTTGTTTTGTTTCGATTTTGCTGTTTCAACCTCAAAATGAGTCCAAACAGTGCTGAAACGAAACAGCCAGTGAAATTTCACACAGCCCTAACTTGCAGTTCCTGCACCATCAGCCTTCCGAGCCCTTTCCTGGGCTCAGATCAGTCTGTCTGCCCGCACCCTGGCACTTTGCCCATTCTGGCTACCTGTGAGTACCTAATCCCTCCTGGGCACTGGATCCTTCTGGTCCCACCCAGGCACTGAACCTTCTCTGGTCCTGCCTTCACTCTATTCCCAAGCTCAGGTCCTCTTGAGACCACCAACACCTCATCTCAATTCCTAAGCCACCAGACCCTACCTCAACTCTAAGGCTGCCTTCTCTTACCCCTGGGAGTGCAGAGTCTAACCTCTGTCTTCTGCTTGCCTAGGAGTTCCTTCTATGTCAGCAGCTAGGGCAAGACTGCCTGGCTCTGGGCCCGGGCTTATCTCCTTTCTAGTCAGGTGCTCCCTTCCTGCACTCAGCTATCTCCAGAGCCTTCTCCCTTCTTAGAGAAACAGGTGCACCAAATGTCTGTGGCAATTACCAATATTCTTGTTAGGTATACCAAATCCTTTAAGCTATAGGCATTTGAGTTTTGCAAGACTGATGAAGAGAATCTCTTTTAAGAGTGTGAGCAAAGTTTGTGAAGCAGATCAAAAGCAAACCTTTAAGTAACAACAACAAAAAAATTATACTCACTTTTCCTTGTCTGATTTGTAGATTTGTGCAATATCTGGTACTAAAGGATCATCTGGATTAGGATCACAAAGTAAGGAGCATATGGACAATAAAACTAGATGAAAGAGAGAATAGATTAAACAAAATTTTATTTTTGTTTTATTTTCCTAGATGTCTTAATATGTTCAAGTTAACATGCATCTTCCCATCAAACTATACATCCTGCAGTTTTATGCAGAACACCTACTCAGGCCTGCAGTCTACTTCCTTGGGTTAAGATAAAAGATATTCTGTTTAGAGGCCATTTAGGCCCACTGGAGCAGTGAAGGTGAGCTACACAGTTTCTTTAACCTCAGCATGAGAAGGAAATTATGTAGTCAGCACAATGCTCCAGCCACTTTTACCCCCAGGTAGTTCCTAGTGTCCACTGGATGGGAGGCTGGGTGGGCTTCAGGGCTATGCTGAAGTGGAAACAATGAGTGGAAACCCACTGTCCTCACCTGGGATGAAACCCAGGTCCTTCCAGTCTGTATCCATAAAACGTACAACCCAAGATCTAGATCCTGCTAGAATTATGCCACTGATACATGTGTGTGAGAGAAACTGACTGCAGAACTTTATCCCATGACATTTAATTATATGCACTAACCCAGCCATATTAAAATGATTATGTAACTGACTATGAACTTCTAGTAAGACTGCAAGCTATTTTACATTAAAGCCCAGGTGTTCATTTATGATACAGGAAAAGCCTACAGGGTCCATATGATCAATATAAAGTGATTAGTATAACACGGTTACAAATGTAAGTTACATCACATCATCATACACAACCAGATTTTGGTGTATGATGTGGATGACTTTGATTTGTATTCTCCTGTAAGACTGAATGAGTATTTTACCTTATTTAAAATGCACACTGAGTATTAGTTTATTTTCTGGAGACATTTGATACTTTTAATTCTAGCATACCGATTCTGGGAAAGCAGCATGTCTGTGTTCAGAGCCATGGAAATATTTGCAAATACTGTGCTGATTTTGCTAACTTATAGCAAGAAAACATTGTTCTTGACATGTCAACTGATAGCACTGCCAGCCTTTACTCTGATGAATTAAACTTGCTTTATGGAGGCAATCTTATGTCCAATAAAGTCTACTTAAGAATTCGTTTCTTGAAAAAAAAAAAAAAAAAAAAGCATGTCTGAAAGGTATCCATCTCACTGACTAAAAACAAACAAACAAACAAAAACAAAAACAATCCCTTACATCTCATCATACAAACTATGTTAACCTCCCAACCAGCGGGCATAAAGCCAGAAAACCTCAGACATCTGGCAGAGGGAAATTATATTTTCCTTAATGACCTATGGAAGTCCACAATAAAGCGTACTTTTTCTAATACATGCTGTGTACTCATGTTATGTTATGCTTTGCTTAATTAAAAAGGTTGGAATTATTTAATACTATTTTGAGCTGTGGCAATTTCAGACGTTTTGTAATGATATATTTGGCACAGAAGATCAACATAAGTCACTAATATTAGACAACTCAAGAGGTTATAATTATATGGTCACTCTGATCAGAGCCTAATGTTAGCTATACGGTAAATGTCAGAATCCTTTATGTCAGCCAACAAGAACATGTGTACAACTAAACAGTAACTTAAAAAAACAACCCAAAAAACCGAAATGGGTTGTCAGTCGTAAATAATATGCCTGTGTATGAAGTTCTTTAAAATAACTTTATCTGAAGAGTAATTCTAGGGAACGTAAGCAAACCACTTCACACTAATGAAGTATTTAAGGAGAATGCTTAAATTAATCTTGAATTTACATTTTGAAGCAGCATAATGATGCAAATGTCTGACCACACATTAACTAAGTCTTCAGCAGGAAATAAGGTATATATTGCACAGCAACAGGCCGGGGGTCAATTTATATTGGCATTTGGATTACTTCATACATACATAAAGATATGCCTTAAGCAACTTTTCCCAGTTATCAGTGTTAACAGCTAAATAAATGTAGAATTTTTTAAAGATTGTTATACAGAGCTGGTGGGTGTGGGCACCAGCTGCTTATACAAGAAACTATAATTGCTATATTTGCATAGAGCAATTTAAATCAGATTAAGACTAACAATTTTGTCTTGCTTGAAGTGCAAATAGAATGACACTCTTTTAAAAGACAACGTTGTTTAGTGTTTTGTTAAGCACTTAATATTTACATTATTTAACTTTCATTTTAGAGAAACTCCATGGTAAAACTGACTGTATTTTAGATTCCCTTGTCTGCATGTGTAGTAAAGAAGTGGATGAGAAATGAAAGCAGTCAGCCATAATTCAGTGAACCTACAAACACCTCTAATGATCTGAACAACAGTGCAAGGCATAACACCGACCTCACTATTCTAAGAGCCAGCATGCTTCAAGACTGGAGAAAATCTACACTATATTTAGAAAAATAAGAGTTTTACTTGCTGAAGACCAATTGACTGGGGTCAACTGACTATACCCAGAGGGTGGGCTGACACCATGTAGTGGAAACAATTTAGCTTCTCTCAAAATGAAGCATAATTAGGGACCTAGCCAAATCAAGGTGGCAGATGGGCAATTTTGTGAAACAATCACAGTGCTAGTCACTATTTATCCAAGCTTATCATGGTGGCCCCACCCCTTGCTGCTGATTTTCCAAGAGGGCTGCCCTTTTTGCAGCTCTGCCCCTCACTGCTGATTGGCCAAGAGGGCAAGGCTGCACAAAAGGCAGCCCTTAGCCAATCTGCACCAGAGGGAGCGGCTGCCATTCTGGCTGCTCCCTTTCATGCCAGTGGCTCCCCTGCCCCTCCAGTGGGCTGTGAGACCAAGCTGCAGCAGCCATTGGCTCTCACTGGGAAGCCATCATTTTATTTTTAGTAAGTTGTTTTTCAGTCAATTCTGCGCAAAAATTGGAGAAATCATTGTTTTTTGCAGTGTTTGTGGAAACCACTGTTTTTCACGATTTTCACGAAAATTATGATATCACAATTTGGGTAGGTCCCTAAGCATAATTAAAGGCAAGATTTAGCCCACAAGAAGAAGGGTGCAGGCCCCCCCAATCATCATATCCATATTATTATACCCATAAGTGAAAAGGAGTCTAAAGCACTAAGTGATCCAATATTCTATATATGCCTCAACACAAGGTTTTCTATTTACAGCTGAAATTTTCCTGTTTTGTAGTTTTCCAACTTGTCAGACTACTTGGCCTACTATTCTTTCTACCTCTAGCAGGAGCAAATTATGATACAGATATTACAGAAGCCAAATTTAACATTAAATACTCTGCATTTTATCTAAGTTGTTTTCCCATATCTAGCATCTTGCACTTAATGGCATAAATTTAAAACGGCTACTAATCATACATATGATCTACTGTCTAAGTTGATAGCTGAAGTGTAAAATAGCTTGCACAGTCTGAAAGCAAAATACAAGATTTTGTTGAATTTCCCACTTAACAGCATGCAGGATAAATGTTTACTCCCACCTCATGACATTCCTGTTTTTCAGCAATTACTTGTATAAGTCACAATAAGGCTGAACTGTGCATCGTAGCTACATTAAAATGTTTACCATCATTGCCGTTATTGGTATAGAAATTCATTAGCACATCTATGAAGTTACCTTTAGATACAGTCAGAGCTGGTGACCACTGTGACCTCAGGATGTCAAGACAAATACTCCCATTACTGTTTATGTTTGGGTGGTAAATTTTTGTTGTGAAAGCAATCTATGATTATGAAAAAAAAAGTTAGCTTCAGGTTCTGTTTATTGCAAAAGAGAATCTAATATTATTCCTTCAACACCCAGGCACACCTTTTCAGAGTGGCCATCCCAAAGACACCGTATAGGTTTTTGTTCACTGTTGATACATTCTATTTTAGAAATCTCTGCCAGACAGACATATGCATAAAAATAGATAGCACACTGCTGATGCTTTTGCTTTAAACCCCTGCAAAAAGTTTATTAAGCCAAAAAAAAGAATGAAACAAAGATTGGACCCAGGATTTTCATAACAGTTTTAGGAAAATTAAGTATTACCTTTGGTGGTTTGAAAGGATAGTCTGTTGGAAAATGTACTGTGAGAAAAAACACTCCCCCTTGATACGCACTGTCAGGCTAGAGGAAAAGAAACAAAACAAAATAAAACAAACCCTAAGTCTGCTGAAGGTAGGTTTTATTTAGTTTTTTTCTGGTTTCAAACAGCCTTTCCCAAACTATTATCATCTTGGATCAAAGCCTTCCCCCAGCACACAATCCAACACTGGGCTATGTGCTGGGAAGGTGTGTGGCTGATAATGAGGGATGCAATCCTCCCCCAACTTTATGAATGAACAGCAAAGCCAGGTTTGGCCACTGCTGCAGTAGCCCACACAACTACTGAGTACTGCTTTCTAGGAGACAGGGAACAACATTTGACTGGTGGATCAACATAACTGCTGATCCATCAGCTCCAATCTAGCTCTCCCTCAGTGTCTGGGTTGCAAGGTGCTTCCAGAGTTCAGCTCCATGGCACCACAAGGAATATACAACTCTGAGATGGTCCTCCCCATCCTGCCCTCTGTGCAATAGAGCCACAGCTGCTCTGCTACATTTGGGGTCGTCCTCCAGCTTGTCACAAACATACTTACCTTAAGAAGTGATTTCTCTTTGCAGATGCAAAGAGTAGGTTTTTCCCACATTATTCAGCTGATCATGGTGACATCAGGGAGTTTTAAAACTCACAACATCTTTGTGACCTGTACAAATCTGTGAACATGCATTTTGTTAGAGAACATGTGCACAGGTTTATGTCCAGGTTGCACATAGTTTAAAAAAAGAGAAATAACTTTGTTGCAAGTCATTTGTTGAGAGAACCCTTCATTGTCATAATTACATAGGAAAAACCCTCTATAATTAGGTTATCAAGGGCCTCAAAGCTGAAGCATTCCTGTGACTTCTAATTAAGGAAAGCCAAAAATAATGGGCAGATTTCCTGGGTATTAAACATAACAGCTAAGGAATCAGATGCTTACCACAAAGCAGTGGAAGTACACCGATTTCTTAGGCTCCCTGAATCCATTTAAGGCAATCATATCATTCTTTTTTGTGTGAAGAGGAAAAAAAATCCACCATAAAAGAGAATCAATATAAGCGGCAATTTAAATTTATTTAGGATAGAGTATAATAGGGAAAAAACACATGAACACCTCATTTTAAAGTGTTTCCAAACATAGGCACTGTTGCAAAGCAGGACAAGTTATAAATAGAACTGCTAAGGCATCAAATTTCACATAATAGCAAAAGTGGTTGTCACCATGCTTCCATTTGGTTTAAGTTGACAGCTTGCAAGCAAACTAAAATGGTTCATCAAAGTTTTAAATAAAGCTTAAGTTTCAGCATCAAAAATGATGCCACAGTTTCATATGTAAAGTATAAGAAATGAGAACAGCCCACAGAGAAGCACACTAGGTCAACCTACTTCCAGACATGGGGAGTGAATTCTGAAGGCAAGTTTAATTCCTTTATTCCTTTCAGCCTAACAAAAAAAAGATAACTTAGAATATATTTCTTTTTCTTATTCCCTAGGGAAGAACTACCTCACATTGATACTGTGGCTTTTCTTACTAGCAGATATGAGTGAGAAAAACTGAAAGATGGATCCATTCCCATCTTCAAACAGAGTTGACATAATTCTTGCGAATGTACAATACATGGAGAAAAAGTAGGTTTCTGTGACACAATATTGAAGATGAACTACAAAAGGGAAAGGTATATCAGCATGTGCACACTAGCGTTTGATTACTGAAGTCATTAGTTCAAACAAAATCTAGCTTTATAAAAATTCTCCTTCAATCTGTTTTTTGTGGTGAACAAGTCTTACAGTATTGTCAGTAAGACATTTAGCGCAAAAAATTGAATGGAAAAAACAATAAATGTTTAAGATATTAAAGCAGAGCAAAGGGGCACAGGGAGACTCAAACTAATCATCGAACCAGTTACATAACCAGCTCCTAAACAGCAGTGGCATGAATATTAATACTAGCCTTGAAAAAGCTGGCCAAATATCACCTGTATGACATGTAGAGGAATCTTCTAAAAAACATACGCACGAGAAGCAGTGAATAAATCCTAATGCACCATTCCTAGATTAATACTTAAATCAGCAGCAGTTGTATTGAAGATGTTGAAATAAGCCATCTCAGAGCAGTGACAACTCCATTCTTCTGTTTTTCCCCCCCCGTAATGTTGCAGCTTGGATAGTGCTTTAATCTCTCCTGTTGGCAGGTTAGTTTGGCCCTCTGAGTGAACCAAATATTCTTATTTCGAAGTATCAAGAACAGTCCATAAGGAAACTATTAAGACTGTAATCACCTTTAGAGAGCAAATATCTCTTCCTTCAGGTTCTCACCTCAAATCTTCTACAGGCTTCTTTTACTCGCTTCTACTTTTAAGGACTTTTGCCCTTCCCTATGCATCTCCTTGGCAAGGTTCTATCAGGTCCTTCCAGGCCCTCCTCCAGTTGAGGAAAGCAGAACTTTTATACTTATAGTCTCAGCTTCTATAACTGTTGTGACACCAAGACCCCAAAACACCTGTTTTTGGCATACCCACATCATAGTAATGGGTTGAACTTTGACTCTTAGCATATGCACAGCCTGCCTCTGTCAGCCTGAAAGCACAGCTGACAAGCACACTTGTCCACTTGTTCCCATCCAAACGCCAAAACGCAGAAATTGGGAAGCGTAGCCAGCATAAAGCAGCTCTGTGCACATGCCAAGACGCACAAAGAGTCACTCTGGGTGTATGTTCAATTTAAACACTATACTGCCCAATTCCTAGACTTTGGTGCACTCCAAGAGGGCGAAACAGTTTTGTCAGTGGCACTCCCAGGTTCACAAATGCAGATATGCCCTTCAAGACCAAGATCAGCCCGTGAAACGCTACTCTTATTTAGAACTACTTATTTTAATGTTGGATTATGACCACTGTTTTCCCTTTGGAAACATGTTTAACTGACTATCCCTGAAATGCAGGCTTTTCATAAGAAATTAGCTGGTAAAGAACTGGTTGTAGAATGCATTTTGTGCACCCACTAAAGTTGCCCTTAATTTCAAGAGCACAAGGAATAATTTTTAAATAAAGAAAGAAAGGGAATTCTTACAAACTAGAGTATGTAGAATACTTTAAGTTCTAGAGTGCTGCAGTACATAAAAAAGTTGTTTAAAAGAATCTTAAATCCAAGAGTCATGTTCACAGGTGCCCAAATACGAGTCTCAGATTATATTTAAATGGACCTTTCAGAGTCAAAGAGAAATCAAAACATTAGGCCAATTTCAATTGTATGAATTACATACTCACAGGTCCCATAATAGTTGCTTGCCAGTGAAACACTGAAAGACAGAGGGGGGGGGAGGATTACATTATTAGTCTACATTTTTAGCACTGTAAAGATGCCAAAACCTTTGCAATAAGCTATTGAGATGCTTACAGTCATCTCCAACAGGTCCTGCAGAACAATGGGCAGGTGGATCACGCTGCAGATCACTTAATTCCTACAAGAAACATGCAAAGATTTTGTGGTTAAAACAGAGAGAGAAAAACAAAGCACCTTTAAGAGGAATCAAAACAATTTTTAAATGAAGATTTTATAAAAGATGCCTATACTGTTTAAAACAGTGGAGCTTCCCCCAAACAGATGAATGTTCCCCATAGTGCTTGCAGCTCATGAAAGTAGTATTTTACTAGTGATGAATACATGAAAGAAAAGCAGCTCTAATTTACTGTAAACTAATACCCCACTGTAGGAACTGAAAAAAAATGAAGTCCCAGTTTCAAAAGCTGTGTGTTAACTGCCTAGTTAGGAACACGTAAATGTTGAATTGTATTTCATCTTAAAGGCAGGTCAGCAAACTATTTGGCCCACAGAACCTTTGGCTTTGGCAGCATTTAGTCCCATTCTGTGGGTGCTTTCCCCAGGAAGCTGGAGACACAAGCTGCAGTAGTGGCAGGATCCAAGCACTGGCCAGCCAGCCTCTGACCTAAAGTTGGGTTATTCTGGCTTGCAGCTGTAAAATATTGCCTACTCCTGCTTTAAGTCATGCAGAACATTTCAGGTGTGATCCAATGTATATATATGAACTAATTTAAACTAGACTGTGAAATGTTTGCCTCAAATTGATCTACAAGTGTACTACTGAGGCATATCTGAAACTTCACCTGAAACCAAGGAGGGGAAATAATTAAGCCTTAACCCCTGGTTAACCCCTCCAAAAGAACAATTCTTCATGCTTATGAACCTTATATTTCATAAGGACTAACAAAACAAGGACAAAGGTTAAATCTAAAGAAACCTAATTTTTATAAATACAGGTGTGGTCTGTCTCATGACATAATGTCGTACTGCCTTGGGTAATATGCAGTTCCTTCCCATACCATACTTTTATTTTAGGGTGGGTTTTTTATATTAACTTCAGTCCTTCCAAGGACATCATTTCAGAGATTTCCACTGGTCCTTAATACCAGCGATGGTCCCCTTTGCTGGCATGGTTCACTGGCTAACCGTCACAACCAGCTTCTTGCTTATGCACACAAATGTGTCCTTTTTACACCTGATTTATTGCCATTTTAGGCAAGATAAAAAGCAAGGACGATAGTAAGAAAAATAAACTAGCATGTTTTAGTTCAATATACAAGACTAAGAATCTATCTAATATGATGGATGAATTACTTTGTTTAATGTTCTACTGTACTTAAGTATCTTTTTTCCCCAATTCCCAGCTAATAAACACTGCTGCTACAATAAGTGACCTGAAAAAGAATGTGTAAAATCCAAAATCTTATCCAAGTCTATCCCAATTCTGCAGTTGGTCCAACAAAAGATATCACTCATAAAAGCCCTTGCCATTCACATATTTCCTGAACAATCATCATTCCAACACTACAGTGCATTTCTTATTTAAGAGCCATTTTTGAAAAATTATATTTAAGTATGGGATGTAAAAAAATGTAAGTTACTTAATTAGATGCACTTAAAAGGTGCCAGTTTCAAAATGGTCCATTAAGAATAGTCTACAGGATACAGGTTCCTCAATTGACTTTTAAAGTTTTAAGTTCTGAGTACAAGATGCAAGTAGGTCTGCAAATGCTTTCAGTACTACTCTCTAAGTAGAATTTGGATTATGGCATTACTTCTACCACACCCCTTCCCTGTCACAACTTGCTGGCCAAAGTTCTACTGTTTATAAGACTAAAGCGGAAACCCAAACCAAAAATTGCTCAACCCCAAATCCAAATCATGCATATGCTTGCAAAAAGACTTTTGAAAAATTCATGATTATAATTATTATAGGTAAAATGCATCTAGCTCCTGATTATTATTTGTCAGTCAAGAAGTATCTGTTCTGGGAAATAGTAAATTAAACACAAGACAACTAGTTTCAGACAGTTTATCTGCAGGAGCATTCAACATTTACAAAGATTTGTTCTAGAGACAACCAGGGTCCAATGCTCATGCTCTAAGACTGCAGCATATATAGTCAATATATTATGAAGAGTCCTGACCACTGAGCTATGCTGCTGCACTTGCGATGACATTGTTTTACCTCTCAATTTGTTACACGAGAAAAGATTACAAGTCATATCAGTACCCTTTCAGGAGGCACCTCCATTTACCAAGAAACAAAGGGCAAATACTCGGCATGAAATTTTAGTCACTTGCTATGCATGTCCCTTGCTGCCCTCAAATTCAAAAAGATGCATTGTAATGAACTGTCACCCAATGAATGCGCCAGTCAACACAACATCCTGCTATCCAAGTTAATCTATAACTAGATTCATATTTTTCAGGCAACAGCTGCACAACACACTGAAGTAGTATCACTTAGCTATACTGGACTGTAATTTTATTCTGCTGGTGAATTCCAGAGATCATTCTAGTCTATACCTCATCCCATGAGAGCAACAGGAAGATCTTTTAAAAGAAGTGTGTTTTCCTTTTTAGTCCAAAGATTCAGATTTTACCAAGAGGGCATACAACTAGTAATCTATTCAAAGCCAAATCATTACTAGAACAAGAAGGGAATCAACAAGTCTCAAATTTCCAGGAGTCATGACAATAGTATCAAGCAACTTCTTAAGATGATAGCAAGTCAGGATAATTACTGGCACAAAGTGAGGGGAGGAGGCAGAGAGGGTCAGAGGTCTTGAAAGAAAAGAAAGTCACATTGCATAAATCAGAAGCAGGCAAATACAGCCCACCATGCACTTCCATCCAGCCTGCAGCGCCCTGCAACCCTACCCAGCCCTTCCACCCATGAGGGTGGGAGCAAGGCGCCCACGTGTACACACAACCCCAAACATATCCTATTGTGCCTTGCTCCCACCCTTGTGGGTAGAAGGGTCCCGCCAGCACACAGCTTCCGGGTGGGGCTGCTGCTGCTGCTCCCTAGGATCTGCTCTGCTGACTCTGGGCAGCAGGTAGGAAAGTGGTGGGGGCAGGGCTGCAGCTGGCGGAAGCGTGGGCCTGGGGCTGGCGGGAGCACAGACCCTGCACCCAGAGAGGCGGTGGCAGTACAGAGCCCAGCTATGCAGCATGTGGGTGTGAAGGGGTGTAGGGATCCCTTCCCCCCGCTCCCCCATGGTGCACAGCCCCGACAGGCCGTGGCAACAGCAGCAGATTGGGCACTCAGGTTGCAGGTGCCCAGCAGGGCACAGCTCTGGCCAGCACAGCATCCTGCAGTGAGAAGCACAGCCTCCACCAGGCCACTTGTATTGCCAGTGCTCCCTGCCACTCAAGTGCAACCCTGTGCACTCCCCAGGCACGGGAGGGAAGCCCCAGGTGCTGCAGCTGGCTGCCTTCCATGCCAGGGCAATGCCCCAGGCACCTTTCCCTGGGGGCAGGGAAGGCAGCTGGCTCCAGCACCTGGGGCACCCCTCCCGTGCCCAGGGCATGCAGGGGCTGCACGTGAGTGACAGGGAGCACCAGCGATACAGACAGCCCGGTGGGAGCTGTGCCCCTCGCTGCAACATGCAGCCCTGGCTGGAGCCATGTCCCGCTGGGCACCTGCGCCCTGAGCACCCCACCTGATGCTGCTATGCTATGAGGGGAATGCAGGGGATCTCTACACCTCCCACCCTCCCTCGCACCTCACAAACCAAACACCCTGCCCCCATACCCCTCCACATGTACACAAGCCTCCAACATACCCTATGCCCACCACACTCCCCCTCACAAACCCCTCACCCACACCCACATACCCCACCATACACAATCCTTCCACAATATACAAGACTAAGAATCTATTTTTGAATTATTATGCAATAACCTCTATACAGTATGCAAACATGAATCATGACAAAAATATTCTTCATAATAAAATTTAAATATGTTATAATTATTGTTTATTTTTAGTGAATGATTTGTTTTTTTTCCTGGTTCTAAGATGGTGACTGCTTTCTCCCCCACAGAGCATTTCCAGAGGACAAGGGGAGGGACGTCCGGTGGCAAAGGTCAAGGGTTAAGAGGTGGGACTTCCGGTCCCAAGATGGTGACAAGGGGGTGAGGCAACTATCAAGGGGCAGGGCTACCCATGCGGCCCTCTACAGCTCACCAAAACTCATTAAGTGGCCCTCCACCTGAAATAATTGCCCGCCCCTGGAATAAACCCTCCATCATTACAATTTACAATTCTTAGAGACGGAACTCAAAAAATGTAGTTGTACGATTTTTTTCCCTTACGTTCTTTTGGAAAATTGTTTCTGTATTATGAATTTAAGCAGAAGCACTAAAATACCACACACACACACACACACACACACACACACACACACACACTTAGTTAAACGTGTTTCCCAAAGAGCGCGCGAGCGCGCACACACACACACACACACACACACACACTTAGTTAAACGTGTTTCCCAAAGAGCTTGACACTACAGAAATGTGCTGTAAAAAAGGGCTGGATGGGGCCCTGGCCACACCTGCCCTACGTGGTAGGATCCAGCCCATGGATCAGCAAGTGAAGTGTGCCACCAATTTTAATCCAGGAAAAAAGTCTCCCCCATGTATTAAAAGTTTAGAGAACACTAAAATAGGCAGTAATGATCTTACAGTGATTAGCTGGATGATAAGTACAAAGTTATATGTACTGATCATGCAAAATGTAGACCACAAGGCTTGAAAAAGCTGAAGTTTACAGTATAAACAAGCATTTCTCCTTGAGTACAGGGGCTATAAATTGGAGCCACTGGGCAAACACTTAAATGCATGGAATCTGAAACGTCCTGAGAAAGACATTTCCTCAAAGGCCATAACACGTAACCGCTCCTTGCCAGTTATGTTCCA